TCAGACTGGGTCACAGTTCGAAGCAGGCTCTGACGATATTCAGTTTCCATTTGCTTCCTATGTACTGTGGATCCTGTTCCTAATCCTTATGCCCATTCTATTCATCAATTTACTGGTATGTCCTCTGATATTTTATAGTCTCTGCCCATTGACTCTGCCCACAGGTCGGTCTTGCTGTTGACGATATCAAGGGGATGCAGGAATCAGCTGGAATCAACCGTCTTGCCCTGAGAGTGAGTAAACACAGTAACACTGACCTCATTCTCTCTCTCTTTCACATATTCCTCCTTCTCCTCCTCTTATCTTTAGGTTGAGCTCACCCTTACAGTAGAGGAGTACCTCCCATTGTGGCTGAGGAAAAGTCTTATTGTTGGTAGACACACAATATACCCCAACAAGAAGCTCGGAATCATCAAGCATCTCCTTTACAATGTACTTGGAATCTTGAGATCTGATTCTGCTGAGAATATCAAAAATGCACTAAATGCACCTCCAGTAAGTCAAAGCAGAAATAACATACAATACACATGTATACTATATATATAGGAGTCAATTCTTTTGCCTTATACTTAAAGTATTGTTATACTGCTATTATTTTTTTTTTTAGGCGCCAATTGAGGAGGTTCAGCAGCAGAATCAAGCTCTAGCTAGGCGTGTTGATGATCTATGCTCAAGTGTTGAGACACTTTCTGAACAGAATGAGAGGCTACTAGCAGTGGTCTCAGCTCTTGCCGAGAGCCAGGGTGTGGCTAGTCATGTTTCTGGGATTCCCCCATCTTCCCCTGCTCACAGTTTGAAACCTGCTCCTGGTAGTACCTCTCGGGGTCGTAGCCCCTCGGCTCTCTCTGAGAAGACAACCTCATTTATCTGACCAGTTTAAAACAAAGAAAACTCTAAAACTGCTATAGTTTTTTATTAGTTTATTTTGCTGCTTTATTTTTAACATTAATACCGAAAGTAGTTTTCTATGTCCTCCCCTTATTTACCGGAACATAAAAAATTTAGAAAAAACAAGATTGAGTAGGATTCTAGAGCAAATTAGTAAAAAAATAATAAAAAAAAAGGACAAGTAGGATTCCGAACAAGCAACAAAAATACAAAATGAAAATCCTACTCTTGTCACATAAATATCAGTACTGGTACAGCCCTTTGGCTCATAATTGCTGAATCATGAAAGTCGGTCTGGCCTGATCCAGTATAAATGCTTATCATGCCTGTACCATGGCTGACTCCATGATTGTATCAGGACTGATTAACCAAAATCTATAGTCCATACTTGATATCAGGCCTGGTTTCAGGCTGAATCAGGCCTGATCAACGTGATTAAATTTGGCTGTGTCTCTCATAGCTTAGTCATTTCCCTTGTAAATTGCGGCCCCGTCAGCCTGTTCCTTATGTAGAGTAGTCCCTAAAAGAAGGTAAATGTGCTTTTTGGCAGTATGAGACTGAAATTAAGACTCACCATAACTCTACTCACCATAAATTCTTTATGGAGCCTGTCTCCGAGCCTAGCCCGCCTGACTACTCCGAGCCCGCCTTCAATTTTGTCTGACCGGGCCTGCAATCTCGGCCTAATGTGAACTTCAAATAGACCAAGTAGTAGGCTAGCTTTAAGCTCTAAACCATCAGTGAATTGCAAGAAGTAGGTAAGAAGAAGATTTGCAAGCAAAAAGCACCAATGTTTAAATTTTAGTAGTGATCTAGTGATCTGACGACTCATGTCCTCCAAGATGGTGGATAGCAACGGTTGCTATGTTTATTTATACAACATGGGTGTGTTTGCAATAGGTCTATATACATTTTTGCATATTGCAGCCCTTAGCACAGCCTAGCCCCTTGTTCCCTTATTTCTTTTTCTCTGGTGCCCCATTTGCGAGGAAGGAAGACCAGCAATGGCTGAGGGGATAGGAGGAGGTGACAAGACTCGAGCAACGCCAATGGTATCTCTTACTGGAAGAACACCAAAAATGAATCTGCAACAAGTAGGCCTGGGGTGAAAATTATTATTGATTGTTATTTTGAAATAGAAATATTTTATGAATGTAGAATCTACTAAATCATTGCTGTTTCACTTTCTTTTATTCTTATCTCTATTCAGGCAGTACGTGATGGTCGTGAAGAGGTGTTGAGACAATGGCTGGGTCAGCTAACAGAAAAGAAGAAGAGGATCCTTATCAATGCATACGACTCTTTTGGCTTCACTGCTATGCACTATGCTGCTAGATTCAATCGCTTTAAAATGATGCAACTCCTTATTGCTAATGATGCCAGTAAGCAAAGGGCCAGAGGAATGGGAGCATTATGCACTTAGCTAAATTACTGTGAATTGCAAGTTAATCTGACCAATCAAATGCCCTTGCTCACATGGGTAATGGCAATTTGATTGATCAGTTTCATAAGCTTATTAATGATAATCAAATTGCAATTTAGTGTGTGTATATATGTACATGTCTTTAGAAATAGAGGGTTTGTTGATTTTAATCAAAATAAAAAACGATTCGTTTATTATGCTTCAATTGTATCTTAGTTTCTATTGCCACAATTGAGTGTGTGTTACATGTAATATAGGTTACATGTACATTATATAGCCTTTTCAATGGCTCTTGATTTTGCTGCATTTAGATATTCTTTGTTGAGTGTGATCATGACAATGTAACCTTTCATCCCTTGATAGTGTCATAAATACACTAGCACTATTCATTTCTATTGTC